TCAGAGAGCGAGAGAGAAAGCACAAGCAGGCAGAGCGGCAGGCAGAGGGAGAGGGAGAAGCCGACTCCCAGCTGAGCAGGGAGCCCGATGTGGGGCTCGATCCCAGGATCCTGGGATCATGACCTGAACTGAAGGCAGATGCTTAACCGACTGAGCCACCCAGGCGTCCCCCTGACTTCGATTCTTTGGGCATAAAAATCACTTTTCTTTGAACCTCCCCCCTCCCATAAAATACAAGCCCATGTCCTGTATGGATTCTTTCAAACGCCCTCTTACCGAGATGCCACTAGGTATGAGATGGAAAACCCACATGTGCTCAACTCCTGACGTCCTCCTGACGGTCCTCGGCTGAGGGACACTGACACCTAGCACCACGTCTGTCTCAGAAACCAACCTATACTCCAAAAGCATGAGACAGACTCCCCATCCCACTGTTACGGGACAGAGGACAGGTTCCGAACTCAGGTTTGGCTGTTTGCTGCCGGAAAGCAAATGTCTCAAAGACCACCCTCTTCGTCCGGGGTGGGGGTGGGGGAGCCAGACGGTTTAAAGGGGAAGGTGCGGAAAATGGGGAGGGGGCTGCGTGCTCGGTAGCTGACCATCTGTCCTTGCAAGGCTTCCAGATTCCCCCAGTAATGGGCCAGTCATCAAAGCTCCCAGGTGTCTCCCAGTAAAGGCTGGTCCATCAGTCCAACAACCTGCATGCAGACTCTTCCCTGCACCAGGAACCCATCACTGAGGACCCCCCTGGCTGTTTTCCAGGGCCTCCCCTTCTGGAAAGCCTGGTCCTTTGTGTCTCAAAGTCAGTGGCGTGCAGGATCTCAAGCAAGTAGGCTAGTTTGTTCTGCTACAAACTGTGGGGTTTAGGTCAGCAAGCAAGAAGCTTGAACAAGTTAACCCTTAAGACGGGTGGGAGTGCTCTTACGGTTCCACCCGCCAACCCAGGTGAGACCCTTCTTCCCAATCTGGGCCAATCTCATCTACTAAATGGTACATTTAATTTCTTTTAAAATGAGAGAGGGAGCCCACTTCTCCCTCTCCCTTTGTCTCCCCCCCCCCCGTGGGTGCTCACTGTTTCTCCTGCTCGCTCTCCCTCTCTCTCTCAAATAAATAAATCTTTCAGAAAAAAAAATGAGAGAGAAAGTGGCCTCTGGTCACGCCTTATACACCAAGGAAATTACTAGATGCTCCCTTGTGGACAGCAGAGCCATTGACTTGGTGACCTGTGTGTTCTTACCTGCCCAAGAAGGAGAAAAAGATGTCCAATTAAGGTAGAATCTTGCCAGAAAGGAAGGGGCATAATGTCCACTTACGGTAGAATACCACTGTGAGGTACTCCAGCAAACCTCGAACGACGAGATCCCTTTGCTTTGCCTCATTTCGTGTCTGATCACCTATCCTATGCACCCTTCCTCTCCCTCTGATGAAAATAAAAGCCCTCCCCAGGACCTGAACCTTGTAAGCTGTGTTCTCCCCCCACTTGAGTCCCAAGCAGACCCTACGCCAGGGAGGAGCTCAGTCCGATGTCTAGATGTGGGTCTGTGAAGCTTGAGGGGCTGGCTCCCCGGGCCCCGAGCTCCTGAGTCCAGCACACAGAGCAGCCCCTGCTCATTCATTCACTAAGAGGAAGGGGCAGCCGTCCACCTGCACCCCCATCGGGCTCCATCCCGTAGGAAAACCAGCAGCCGGACCCCAAACCACCCTCGGGGCCAGCGTGTCTGAGCACCCCTCTGTCCAGGACTCGGGGGCCACTTAGAGAAGGGACCAGAAGGCGAGAGTGGTTTTGGGGGCCACGGGGAGAGGCTGCTGGACCGACCGGGCAGGAGAGGATGGAGGCTGGATGGGGAAGTGGGGGGCTGCGGCTCCCAGGACTGGGAAGGGATGGGATGACCCCAGGGCACTGGCTGGAGGGGCCCTTTCCTGGGACGGGGACCCCGCACCATGGGCAGCGTGGGGTTCCCGTGGGCGAGAGCCCCCTGAGGGTGTGACCAAGGCTGTCTTGCCACTGAGGACCCAGCCCCCAGCCCCGCCCCCCCCCCACAGGGGGGAAAGGATTACTCACTCCCTGTGACTCCTCCAGGGGCGGGGCTGAGGGTGGGTGAGAGAGGGAGAGTCCCGGGACCCTCAGGCTGGGTCTGGGTGGGCACAGCTTGCCGGTGGGATTTGAGCCCCAGGTCCTGTGGGCCGAGCCTCACACGCAGCAGCCGAGGAGTGGGAGGATGCAGGAGCCAGACCCTCCCGCAGGTGCGCCTGGGCCTACCTGAGCGGCCTGGGCCGGGGCGGTGGGGGGGTTGTCGGCTGGCCGCGGTGGCTGAGGCTGGGGAGGCCCCCTGTCCGGGTGGGGGGGTCCCACCCTGGGCTGTGGGGACTTCTGTGGAGCTGGGGCGTGGACTTAAATTCTTGGGGTGGGCTGAGCAGAGGGCCTGGTGGGCACTGGCCCCCTGCAAGTGTGAGGGAGGCTTTGGCCGTTGGTGGGAGGGGCTGGGGGGCCTGGCGAGGTGGGAGCCCACCTGAGGCAGCAAGCTGGCTGAGCCTGGGGCGCCCACCGTACCGGCCTTCCATGGCTGTGGGCCCTGGAATCACAAGACCGGAACTGTTTATTAGGCCCATTTCAAGGACGTGGACACTGAGGCCCAGATGCGCCCAGGGACTCGGGCTGGAAGGGGGAGAGCCAGGGCCTGACCCCGGGGCATCTGGTCCACAGGCTGCCTCTAATCCACAGCTGGGCCTCGTACCGCAGGCCTGAGCCTCCCACCTGCTCACAAGGGCCTGGCCCGGGCAGGGGGAGGGGCGATGGCGGGCTGGGGGCTGTCTCTGGCTTGTCTGACCCTGTTTCTCCTTCGACCAGGCCCCCCAGCACCCCAAAGGCTCCCAAGGCCCCGGAAGAAGCGCACAGTGTACCTCAAGGAGCAGCTGCAGGAGCTGAGGAAATATTTCACGATGAACCATTACCCGAGCTACGAGGAACGCCTCACCCTGGCGGCCAGGCTCGACCTGGATGAACATCAAGTGCAGGTATGACCCCCCCCGTCCCCCTTGTCCCCAGTCTTCACAAGATCCACGAAGAAGGTGGCACTTCCTGGGGGCTGAGCCCTCCCCCGCTACTGCTGAGCAGATTGAGGCCAGAGGGTCCCACAAAGTTACCAAGGGGCCCCCTGTGTAGACCCAGGGCTAGACCCCAAGTTCACCTCAACCCCTGTGCTGTCCAAACCAGCCAACGTGATCCTGCCCAGACTGAAGCCCTAATGGATCTCCAGGCACCAGCACTGGTGAGGTGGGAGACCCTCTGGGGCAGGCTCCTTCCTGGCCCCTGGGCTCCAGGGTGCCTACCCCCTGCCCCTCCTACTCTTTGGACCCTCTGCTGCACCCCAGGGGCCTCGAATTGGGCCTGGGGTCATAGGGAGCAGTAGGAGTCCCGCTTTTTTCTCCCTAGCAGCCCCACCCCTGGGATGAGGCAAGCCCTTTCACACCTCCTCCTCGTCCCCTCTGTCCCTCCCTCCAGGTGTGGTTCAAGTCCCCTCTGTCCCTCCCTCCAGGTGTGGTTCAAGAACCGCAGGGCCAACCACTCCAGGCTGCAGGGACTGCCCAAAGGGCGAGGTCAGGGAGCCCCTGCTGTGCCCCGGGGCCGTGGAGACCCCGCATCTGTCCCTGCCCCTGTCCCCGCCCAGGCCCCGGTTCCGGTCCCTGCTCACCCCGCATTCCCAGGGATCCCAGGCATCTCCAGCGTGGCTCAGCACAGCCCCACGCTGGTCCCTGCCCAGCAGGACCCAGAGCAGGGCTCCCGGGAGCATGTCCCTGCCGCCCAGGCCCCTGTCCCAGCCCCGGACCCGGCCAGGCCTCAGGGCTCCCCTGCCTCGGACTTCTCTCCAGACCCCGTGCTGGCCCCCAATTTCACAGGGCTCCTTTTGCCCCAAGACCCCTTGGAGGAATCCTCTTTCCCCTTGATGTCCGGTTCCCAAGAGGGAGAAGACCCTGCGGATGACAGTGATTCAGAAGCTGTTACTGGATTTATAGGGGAATCTGTCCCCACAGAGTCCTGTAGTTCCCACGGGGCCAGAGGGGACGAGGGTGTCCTCCGTCTTCGTGCGTGGCCTCCATGTGGGTGGGGACAGAGGTGGCGGGTTGGGCTGCACTCCGGATTACTCCTCTGTGGGGGGAACCCAGCCCCGTTCATCCCACCTGCTGAGGTGGCATCTCGTGTTCACTGTGGTCTCCACACGTCATGCTGCTGTGAGTGTCCCCACTGATACTTAGGGCGCCCGGGGGCATTTCTGCAGGATCCCAGGTGTCCCATAGAACCTCTGCTTCCCTTCCTCTGTTTGCTTCGTGGATGCTCCGAGAGCTTTCTAAAGGCCTCAAGCAACCTCACTGGGAACTTAATCAAAAACTGCGTGAAATCCAGGGCGCCTGGGTGGCTCAGTTGGTTAAGCGACTGCCTTCGGCTCAGGTCATGATCCTGGAGTCCCTGGATCGAGTCCCTCATCGAGTCCCTCATCGGGCTCCCTGCTCGGCGGGGGGTCTGCTTCTCCCTCTGCCCCTCCCCCCTCTCATGTGC